AAAAAAAGGGGGGGAAAGGGGGAAAAAAAAAAGCCATTTACCCTCTGGTGTCATTGCATTTCACAGCTCTCAGGTAACGAACAACTTCTCTATAGCTGGGGAGAGAAAAAAGAGGGTGAGTAGGAAAAGGAAGGAAGTGCAAAGCTACAGACAGGTCAATCAAATATTTACTGTAATTAATGAAGCAAAACAATAAATCTTCCCACACAAGAGGGTGGAAATAGAAATGGAAGCAAGAGACAGTTGGAAATAAATTCCAAGAAGTTATTCACTGATTATTTCTACTCTGGCAAAATCAACCAAGAGGTTGCCTTTCAATCTAATTCTTTAATGGACTGTATTCTTTTGAACACTGCATTCATTGGAACACAGACCTCTGAAGACCCAGAACACATTTTTTTCTGGCTGTTTTCCACCAGTCAGCCTTTGAGGAACAGAAATTGCTTTAAAAAAATCAACATCTAAAAACCTACAGGGTTTATGGAAACACAGAAATCATCCCCTTCAACATTGTTTTTCTGGTTCTGAGCATTCAGAGGGCTTTGAAAAACTTCAGAAAGCTCCTGGCCTTGTTGATAAGGAATAAGGGGCATGAACAGCTTCAAAGGGGTCTTTGTTTCCTGTCTCCCCATTCTGCTGAACTGCAGAGCTTTGGAAAACACTCCACTGCAGTCAAAACGTTAAGAGCTGAGTCTCCAAAATTAAAAACCCCCACCAGTCTTACTTCTTTTTGTCTACCAGTTTCTCCACTCGAGCCTCGATGACAGGGAGTGTTTCCCAGAGGAATACTTTCCTGCCTTTCTGGGTCCTCTGCCCGGTGATGTTCTGGCCTTTCAGGACCGTGGTCAGCAACACGTGATCCCAGGGCACCACGTTCAGGCTGGGAGGGCAGAAACAAAGGCATTTCAACTGTGTTTTGAGATTAAATCCCAATTTTTTTGATCTCAACTCCCTTTAAGTATCATGCAGATTTCCTAATAAACCATTTTGGGGGTTTACAGCTCAGTTCTGGGGAAAATTAAAAGCTGTATGGAGAACAACTTAGAGCACCAAACAACTTTCCCCCTAAGGATGGGACAAATAAAAAGCAGTTAGCACCAAAATATTCCTCTAAAGTGCTCCCACTTTTACTATCAAGGAAAAAACCAACCCCTAGAGCTGTTTTCAAATCAGGCAGCTGTATAAAACATATCCTGTGGACAAAAAAGGCAAAGAACTTACCTGTTTGAGAAGCCAAAGCAGTGACAGGGAAGGGAGATGGACTGAAAGAAACTAATGAACTTTTCATAGAGAGTTTTGGGAAAGTCACACAACACCAGCATCCTCTGAAGTTGGGTTGTGATCCTATGATTTGAAAAGAAAAAAAGTAATATCTTGAAATCAGATTAATTGCTACTAAGATGTGTCTTTTTTTTAATCATATGGGAAACTGCAGAAGTTTGGGGTTTTTTTTTTTAGTTAAATATCAGACAGTTTGGATCTATATTTAAATCTCTGCTTTAAGATTTGTAGTGAATAATGATAATAATCTTTTGCTGTTATTTTTAATACCAGTGAAACCAAGGTTTTGTGGTTTTAAGCTTTAAAACAAAGATCTCCTGGGAAAATGTACAGGAAACACTGCAAACTATGCTGGACTTGATAATCCACCTGAGCTCCTGCACCCTCCCTGCCCCTGGAACCATTTCTGGATTAACTGATAACTGGAGATAACAAAAGAAGAGTTTACTCCTTTAAGCTTTTGGGAGGGAGGTAAAAAAATCCTAAGAAATTACAAACTTCAAGAATAGTAATTCCAAATGCAAACTGCTCAAGGATTTGGGTTATACCTGTCATTAATTTCAGATAAAATGAGAATATGGAATTGGGTTTGAGTGTTCCTGAAAGAAGGCAAGAATTAACTCAATAACCTTCTGTGGCAAGTGAATTTGGGGTGAAAGGGGAAAGCTAAAGCTAAAATGAGAACTGAATTAAGCCAAGGGAGCTGGATGCCCTCATTCCTCAGCCTCTGGGGGAGCTTTACTATGTTACATCCCTGGCTACTCCATCCCAGTGGAATATTCCAGGGCTGCTGTTTTGATCTCTAACAGACACTATTTGCTCTTTGGTTTAACAACCACCACCTGACACCTCCTGCTCTGCCCTTCCAGAACACCCCACGTGCCTCTGCAATTGTCATTGGAAATCTGCATTTTTAGAAGCAAACAGAGAATTTTGTAGCCAGGAAGAAAACAAATCTCACCTTTGGAACAGACATGGGACAGCAATCTTTAGTGAATCAGTATGGCCAAGGTTCTGCCAGCTTCTAAGAGGGGAGGGAAAAAACCACTAGTTAATGTTTGCCTGGTTTTCCTGCCTTTTCCCCTTCTCTGTGCACCACCCTTTTCCTTAAAAAGCACTGGAAATTGTCATGTCAACAAAAAACAAGTAAAACAAATGCTCAAAGTGCATCTCCTTTCCTCATGACTTAATCCCACTTAACTTCTTCCCTTCACATCCAAGCTTTAACCTCTTTTCCCCCAAATCCCTGCTGTAACCAATCCCACTTCCCCCTTGGGTGGGCTCCTCTTCCTCTTGTGCTGCAGCCTGGGCTGGGATTCTGACACTTCCTTACCCTTCATAAATGGAACCCTGGAATTCCCTCCCCAATCCCCCTCCCTTGGAGAGGCAAAGGTCCCACCTGGATGTGGCCCTGGGTACTTACAGGGCAGGGTCTTTGTGCAATGCAATCTCTTTAGCTGCTCCCAGCAGCATCACAGCAGCAGCTTTAGGACTTTCTTGCTCTGCCTGATTTAAAAATCTTGTTACCAGGGCAAAAACGTCAGAATACCTGAAAAAGTTAAGGGGTCTATAAGAGAAAGGGTCTGCAACCATGAACTTCACAAACAAATGGTAATTGTGACCATTCTACAGTTTGAGAACAAGCTGCCTTGCCTTGAAAGGATTTATGACATGATGGAAAGGTGCTTGCACAACTATTAATTTCAGTATTTTTTTAAAAGCTTGTTACATCCATTAAAAGGTGAAACCCACTCTAAAAAAAACATTAGTAAAAATCACAGAATCCTGGAATGGTTTGGGTTGAAAGGGACCTTAAACACCATCCAGTTCCACCCCCTGTCAAGGGCAGGGACACCTTCCACTAGCCCAGGTTGCTCCAACCTGGCCTTGGGCACTTCCAGGGCTGGGGCAGCCACAGCTTCCCTGGAAAACCTGTGCCAGGGCCTCCCCACCCTCTCAGCCAAGAATTCCTTCCCAATATCCCCTCTAACCTTATCCTAAAATACAGGCCTTATTTCCATGCTTTCCAGGTTATAACAATGAGATATTATCAGGTATCTTGTATGGCACAACAGATGTATTTAAAGAGGTATTTAAGAGGGTGTTTAAACTCCATTCAAGTGTAATTTAGCAGCTTGCTGGCCCTCTCCACTCCATTTCTGCTGCATCAGGTGCCACAATTCT